AAAATCTATTGCAGTTGACCCTTGAACAATGTGGGGTTTGGGGCACCAAACCTTCTGCATAGTCAAAAATCCATATATAATTTTTGAATCCCCCAAAACTTAACTACTAATAGCCTACTTTTGACCAGAAGCATTACCTATAATATAGTCAATTAACACATATTTTGTATATATATTATAATACTATATTCTTACAATAAAGTAAGCTAGAGAAAAAATGGTTTTAAGAAAATCATAGGGAAGAGAAAATACATTTGCAGTACTGTGCTGCAATTAAAAATTTTAAAAATTTAAAAAATCAAAGAAGATCAAAATGAATGGCAAGATATAGTGTATTAGGGATTGATGGATTCAATATAATTAACTTGCCAATCATCCATAAATTGATCAATAGATTTAATGCAATTCTGATAGAAATTCCAGTACGATATTTTTGTAGATATAGGCAACTAATTCTAAAAGTTGTATGGAGTGCTAAATGAACTAAATCTTTGAAATAATTTTGAAAAAGAAAAACAAGGTTGGAGGATTCACGCTACCAGATTTTTAATTATTATAAAGCTATAGTAATCAAGGGTATGGTATTATCAAAGAGATAGATACATAGATCAGAATAATAGGCTAGAGAGTTTGGAAATAGACCCACAGAAATATGGCCAATTAATTTTTTTTAAAGATGAAAAGGCAGGGGGCCTGGGTGGCTCAGTCAGTTAAGCGTCTGCCTTTGGCTCAGGTCATGATCCCGGAGTCCCGGGATTGAGTCCTGGGATCGAGCGCCACATTGGGCTCCCTGCTCGGTGGGGAGTCTGCTTCTCCCTCTCCCTCTGCTCATGCTCTCTCTCATTCACTCTCTTTCTCAAATAAATACACAAAATCTTAAAAAAAAAAGATGAAAAGGCAATTTAATGGAAACAAACTATGATAGCTGCAGAAAAATACTACTCAGCAATAAAATGAAATGAACAATGGAGACATGCAATAACACGGATGAATCTCAAAGGCATTACACTGAATGAAAGGTATGTAAAAGTTTATATACTTTATGATTCCATTTATATTACACTCTGGAAAAGTCAAAACTATTTTGATGGATAATAAATAAGTTGTTGCTACGGGTTAGGGATGTAGACAAGTTGTGACTACAGCCTGAGGAAGTTTTATGGAATGATGGAACTATTCTGCATTGTGATTTTGGTGTTAGTTTCACAAATCTATACATGTATTAAAATTCATAAAGCTGTATGCCAAAACAAGAGTCAATTTTACTGTATATTGTTTTTAAAAAAGGAGAACTCCATGAAATAGACAACAAATAATTGAGCAAATAAACAAAGCCAAAAGTTGATTCTTTGAAAAATTAGTAAAATTGATGAATTAGAAACAAACTGATAAAGAAAAGCAAACCAAAAATTACCAATTTTAGGAATGAAAGAGGGGACATCACTACTAATCCAATAGACATTAAAAGGATATTAAAGAAGTAGTATGAACAACTTTATGCCAATAAATTTGAAAACCTACATGAATTAGAGAAATTTCTTGAGGGACACAAACAACTTCCTCTTACATCTCATTGACTAGAACTGAATCACATGGCCATTCCTAGCAGTCAGGGAGGCAAAGTGAGTATCTGGCAAAGAGAAACAAAATGGTCATGGAGGGCTTAGTTCAATCACAGCTTACTCTCTGTGGCTGGGCACAGGGTTGCCCCCTCCAATCAAAAAAATCGGGAATATATTAGAAGTAATGGCAAGTACTTTTTTTTTAAAAGATGTATTTGAGAAAGAACGAATGAACGTGCACACCAGCGAGCAGGGGGAGGGGTGGAGGGAGAGGGAGACAAGCCGACTTCCTGCTGAGCGGGCAGCCAAGAGAAGGGCTCCATCCCAGGACCCTGAGATCAAGACCTGAGCTGAAATCAAGGGTGAATGCTTAGCTGACTGAGCCACCCAGGTGCCTGGAGAGTGTTTTATGTAGGGAGTTAACAATGCCTGCCACAGGCTTTTAGCTACTTGGCAATCAAAAGGCTCCTAGTTCAGTGCACTTATTGGCTAAAACAGAATTTTTAACCAATGTATTTTAAATGCCCAGACAGAAATACTTGTGAACTGAGGGGAATGACTGAGAGCTTCAAAATAATTGTTACAGAAAAGCCTAGAAAAGATTATGATTATTCTTGGATGAAATCTGATTAAAACCAGGTCTGAGAGCTGTGCTTTCCTTGCAATGTGAAAAGTTTTCTTACTTTTCTTCCTCCATCTTTGGGTGCCTCTCTTCCCCTTCAGCACACTTCCTCATGGCATTCTGTTTTTCTTTTACTGGAGTACTTCTCTACTGCCTTATAAATACTTGTTTTTTGTTGTTGTTGTTGTTCATCTCCTAAACAAGACAGTAATGTTAAAAGAAGGAATCATGACTTCACTGTAGTCATGTCTAGGTCTCTGGAACCCAGGTAGTATCTACCTGGTTTTTGTTTTTGTTTTTTACCATTATGTAATGAATGAGACGCTTTCAAAGCAAGGTCAAAAGATTTAGCTGGTAAAGAAACAATGAGCCTTTTTTAGATTTAGACAGATCAGTACCTACATAGACAGTGAAACCAAGAGTAGCCAAAAGGTGCCAGCTATTGTCTCACACTAAAAGGATAACACCAAAACAAAAGGAGTCAGATGACTTCAACTTGAGATGTGGAATGGCTTGTTGCTAAGGGGCTAATGCTGTGTTGTATCAGGTGAAGCAGACATCCTCATCACAACCCAGGAAGAAATGAAGAACTGCCAGCCTCCTTGGAAGACAGGGACAGGAGTGGTAAATGGCCTTATTGCAGCTCCTCACAAGCCTCTCATGCTCTCACATTCTGGGAGGATCACAAGGTGTTCTGCCAAGACCCAAGGCAGCTGCAGTTCAAGCCTCTCCTACATGACCTGTGTAGGTTGTGCAATGTTGTCCAGCGCTGGTGTGGAGCTATTCCTTACACTCAGGTTGCTCAGAGGAACATGATGCTCTATCTTGACTGTAATTTTAAGATGGCAACAGGGGCCACCATCCAAGAAAGAGCCCACATAATGGGGCTCAGAAGGATGGTATTTCAAAGTGGGTGCTGTGGGTCCCTGCCCTCAAAAGAATAGAGAGGGAAACCTCATTGTGGTTTCCATTTACTCTCTTAGAATTAAGAATAAGAAAACGAGGGCGCCTGGGTGGCTCAGTTGGTTGGGCGACTGCCTTCGGCTCAGGTCATGATCCTGGAGTCCCGGGATCGAGTCCCACATCGGGCTCCCTGCTCAGCGGGGGTCTGCTTCTCCCTCTGACCCTCTTCCCTCTCGTGCTCTCTATCTGTCATTCTCTCTTTCTCAAGTAAATAAATAAAATCTTTAAAAAAAAAAAGAATAAGAAAACGAATCCCAGACAGAGAGTTTTGTAAAATTTTGCAACTTTCAAAGTCCCCAAGTATTTGTTTGATATTATTTATCTTTTTTGTTTTCTAACATTAGATGTAAAAACTCAAAGCAAAACAAAATAAAACAAAAGTGCCTTGAGCTAGCCTTTAGGGTCACAAAAGAGGGAAAAGTTCGGAAGAGCAGCCAAGCAGTTTGGGGGCAGTAGCCAAGTAGGAGAGTGAAATGGCTGGATTTTGTAGCCTCCTAAATGAGGAAAGAGAGAAGAGGCACCAGAGTTAGCAGGAGTTCTGGGGAGCCAAACTTCTGGTCAGATGGTAAATTAGTGCTATACCATCAGCAGCTTGCTCACTAGCTCTCTCATTCACAAATCCAGCAGAGGCTGGGAGCACTTTATGAAGCCCTGAATGAAGCAGAAAGCTGAAGCCTGAGGATCTTGAAATGCTTCTGGAAGGCTGGACCTGCACTTCTAACATAGACCTTAAACAACAGGGCTCTTTTGTGTGGTTTCTGATGCCTGACATGTGACCTAGAAAAAGGGGCAGTGTGACAAGCCCACCATTCATTCATTTATTCAACAAATATTTATTGAGTTCTCTATGTACCAGGCAGTCAGCATCCTAGGACTAGGTGGGGATACTGTGGTGTACAAGACAAACAAGGTCCTTGACCTTATGGGACTTACAGACAAAAGAAAAAAAAAAAGCACATAACAGGGAAATGAATAAATGAGATCACTCTCCTCTGCTATGAAGGGTGCAGAGACTTCCAGTGAGGCTAAGAATCCAGAGTCACAGTGAGCCTAAGAGCTGAGCTCAGAGTGGGGAGGCAGGGAACAGACCACAGGGGGCTTTGCAGGCCAATGTAAGGAGTTTTTACATCATACTTAAGGCAGTGCGGATCCTTTGAAGGCCTTTAAATAGGGGAATGAAGTGGGCTGATTTACTTTTCCAATGATAACTTCAGCAGCTGTTTTGTGGTATAAAATGTCAAGTCTGAAGTCAGAAGATGACCATGCACTTTGCGAATTCACTGAGATCACTGCCAAAGCTCTTAAGAGTCTCATCTGTTTCCCTGACAGATAATTTGGTCAAAATAAAGCTGTGTAACATGTGTGGGAGCCAAAGGCTGGAGTCATGCTTTGGTTTCAAATCTTTTCTCCCCCTTACTAGTTATGAGCTCTAGGCAAGTTATTTACTTGTGCCTCAGTTATCTATCTTGGCTGAGAAATGGGGATAATAATAAAAGTTTTTGCCATCATAAGTCTGTTGTGAAAATGACAATATGGGTGGCTGGTACAATGTAGTAAGCACTTATAAATACTCGCTTTTATTATTTCTTTCAGAGGGTTACTGTGCGCTTCGTATGAGATAATGCCCGTCAGATGGCTTGTGAAACCGCAGAGACTATCCTAATGGCAGAATTCTTTCTTTTCCCTGTCTCTTAAGCGGAACATAGAACTCTGGGCTATCCAGGGAGGCGCGAGGCCAAGCGCAGCCTCAAAGCGGTCATTGTCGTCGCGCCGCCCCTCCTCCTCCCGGAGTGCATCTCCATGGCAACGCGGGGCTTCTCCTCTCCCCGCCTCCTGGGACCCGCAGACCGGAAGCAGTCCGCGCCGGGGGCTTCTGGGAAACGGCTTGTGAGCGGCGTTTCTGCGTCTGCTTTGGACAGCGAAGCTGCTGCGGATCCTGAGGTGGAGGTTTGCGCGAGAATGGGGGGAAGGGCGTGAGGGGGACGCTGGGCTAAGAGGCTGCGGACCTCTTGGCAGGAATCAGCGAAGAAGCTTGGCGGGGACCTTGGCTTCCCGGGAGGTGCGGAGGAGAGACCGCGGTCTCCGCGTCCAGTAGTTGCGGGGCGGATAGGTGTAGAAGGAAGGCCAGATCGGGCCTGCCGCACTATCGGGGAGTCCTCCATCTCCTATGTCCTCCGCGACCCTCGCCCTTCCCCATCCCCCCTCGGCCGGTTTTGTTCTATTTCGAGGCCTGGCGTCTCGCGGAGGGTTCTGGGACTCGTTTTGGGCGGAGGTGGGAGAGGGCGGGCCTTGCGCGAGGGCTGCCGGGGCTTGTAGTTGCGCCGGACGCGGGCGGAAGTGCCGTAGCCCCGGCGCTGTTGGGGCAGTGTGGCCTTTGGTCGTCTGAAATCAGCCGGCGGGGGTGCAGGGAAGGGGGACTGGAGGACGCCGGGGCGGGGCGGGGTTTGCAGCGGAACTCCGCGGGAGTGAGGCGAGATCACCTGGGACGCGGCTACCTGCCCAAACGCTGTAGCGACCGCGGGCCAGCCCTCCTTGCACCTGCTTGACGGCCCACGAGCAGGCTGCTGTAAGAGAACATAAAAGGAAGAGAAATTTCTTTTCTGTAGAATGATTGAGCCTTTGATAAGGTAGGATCCTGGAACAGGAACCAATGAATCTGTTGGCTAAACCCCATTTAAAAGGCCGCCACACTCCAGAGTAATTAAACCTGTCTGCATTACTTGTCTGATAAGATAATTAGTCTTGTTAGGGTTACAGGAAGTTTTGTGAAATCTTTGGTTTTCAGATTCTGGGCCCTAATAGATAACACTGAATAACTGCCTGGCTCCTTCCTAGTATGTGTTGTAAACAATGGCATGGGCATGACTGTGCAAATACAAGGAAAGGATCAGAAATAGCACAAAGTTTCTCTGAAGGTAGAAGCTGGGAAAACTGAGTCATCCAGTGTGAGATGATGACTCGGCCTCTGCAAGAAGTTAAGGTGTTATGCTAGTGCCTTTTCTTCGTTGAATTTGCCGTGATTAATGCCGGTCATTATAGATTTAAATGTAGTTATGGTGTAGTGGGTGACTGAATAGTGTTTGCATTGCATGGCACCTAGTGGTTAGGTTTTTTTCAGTATTAATCTGTTACTGAGCAAGTGGATATTTTTTCATATATATTTTAAGTCCAGGGAGTTGTTTTTTTTTTTTTTTAGGTTTTTTTTTTTTTTTTTTTTTCCCGGGGGGCCCCGGCGCGAGAGAGGGACCCCAAGCAGGGGGAGTGGGAGAGGGAGAAGCAGGCTTCGTGCTGAGCTGAGAGCTGGACGTGGGGTTGGATCCCAGGACCCTGGGATCATGACCTGAGCTGAAGGCAGATGCTTAATGACTGAGCCACCCAGGTGCCCGAAGTCCAGGGAGTTCTTAAACATTTAAAAGATCGTTCTTAACTCCTAAAAAACATAACTCCTAAAAAGCCTTTTGTTAAAAAATTTTTAAACAGATAACAGAAAAGCAGTCCCTACTTTTAAGACCTATGTGGGTCAAGGACCAGCAGTCCTGAGTTGCAAATAATGTGTTCCAGGGTCAAATGCATTTAGAAAACACTGAGTTGGACAGGTTCTTATTTGGACTCTAAATTTTAATTATTGAAATAAGATTTGTTGACCTAGTAGGTCATATATTGGCCAGCTTTTTTTCTAAAGGGCCAGATAGTAAATATTAGGTTTTTCAGACCATATTGTGTCTGTTGAAACGACTCAACTCTGCCATTGTAGCATGAACTGTGAACGAATAAAATTATTTATGGACTCAGACATTTTTAATTTCGTACCATTTTCACATGTCATGAAGTAGTCTTGTGATTTTTTGCAACCATGTAAAAGTGAAAACTATTCTTAGTACAAGCATTGTACAGAAATGGGCAGCAAGCCAGATTTGGCTGTGAGCTGTAGTTTGCCAACTTCTGCTGTAGGTTATTGATTGGAATTTTTAATCCGGTAAAAAAACAAGTATCTTTTACTTCCTTTATCAGTATATGTTCAAATTCTTAGGATATTTGGTTACTTATGTTTGTTTGTTTTAATTTCTTGTCCCTCAGGAGTGCCTGTGAAGAAAACAGAGTATTTCCCTGAGACCTGTATCCTGCCTTGATTGACTTTTCTTGGAAGTATTATAAATCAGGATGTCTGCACAGTCCGTGGAAGAAGATTCAATACTTATAATCCCAACTCCAGATGAAGAGGAAAAAATTCTGAGAGTGAAGTTGGAGGAGGATCCTGATGGTGAAGAGGGATCAAGCATCCCTTGGAACCATCTTCCTGATCCAGAGGTTTTCCGACAGCGATTCAGGCAGTTTGGATACCAGGATTCACCTGGGCCCCGTGAAGCTGTGAGTCAGCTTCGAGAACTTTGCCGTCTATGGCTCAGGCCAGAGACACACACAAAAGAACAAATTTTGGAGCTGGTAGTGCTGGAGCAGTTTGTTGCCATCCTACCCAAGGAATTGCAGACTTGGGTTCGAGAGCATCATCCAGAGAATGGAGAGGAGGCAGTGACAGTGCTGGAGGATTTAGAGAGTGAGCTCGATGACCCTGGACAGCCGGTGAGTCTGGTCATGTCACTCTCCTGGGTCAGAAGCACTGGCATAGCAGTAGGCAAAGCTGCTGAGTTAATTCTGCTCAACTAAATTAGAATTATATTTATCCCCACCCGCCCCACACACACACACACTGTTCCCCTCTAGCTATGCTTTGTCATACAGGCCCTTGCAGTATGTGTGTTGTTATGGTTTCTCTTGTGTGTTTTTAGTTCTGAATCTTAATCAAATTTCTTCTCACCTGAATCAGACTTCATTTTTTTCCAGGTGTCTCTCCGTCGACGAAAACGGGAAGTTCTGGTAGAGGAGATAGTTTCTCAAGAAGAAGCTCAGGGATTACCAAATTCTGAGCTTGATGCTGTGGAGAACCAGCTCAAGTGGGCATCCTGGGAGCTCCATTCCCTAAGGCACTGTGGTGAGGACCAAAACTCCCAAGTGGGCTAGAGGGTGAAAGAGAGTGTGGGCCATTTGTCTAGAACTCTTTGCTTGTTCCCACTAGGGGGTAGGGGAATAATCACCTTAATCTGATTTTGTAGACCTAGACACACTGTAGGATCTTGATTCTTTTCTTATAACAGTTGGTTTGCAAACCTCAGGTCTTTTATTCTTAGATATTAACATCATCAGCCTTTTCTTCCCTTTACCTCTTGAAGACCTGCCCATTTCAGACTGGCATTTGCCTTATTTTGAGCCAGCACCTGCTTGTCGATTGTCCCTTATTTTTTTTTTTATTTAAGATTTTATTTATTTATTAGAGCACGACAGCGGGGCGGAGAGGGAGAAGGAGGCTCCCTACTGAGCAGTGAGTCAGATGCAGGGCTTGAGCCCAGGACTCTGGGATCATGACATGAACCCAAGGCAGACACTTAACCAACTGAGCCACCCAGTTGCCCCTAAGTCCCTTATTTTGCATGCAGTATTCTCTGTCATCTGTTTCATACCCTTTCAGTCTCCTGCCTAATCCTCTTGGCACAATAAGCTTACCTGAAGCCTCTTCAAATTCATTCTTTTTTGCTGACCACTGAAGTCTTTCTAAATTTTTGGTTATTTCTGTTTTTTCTGCAACATAAAGTGTTTTTTTTCTAAGAAGCATCTTTTGTAGAAATGATATTTGGATAAAAATATGCTTTAAGTACAGAAAAGTAAAAAGCTCACGATTATAAGTCGTTTAAACTAGTCTTTCCCAGTATATTGGCAGTTGACAGCATATACTTAGTATACTTTGATACAACCCCAGTATATTCCTAAACCTGTTGGGTTCTTGTTCATATTTGTCTGAGACTGCTTTGGGAATCTTTCCTTGAGGTAGTTGTAGATAATGCTGGTATGTGCCACAGATGGGGTCTCATCGGGTTTTCTTCCCATCTGAGGGGACAGTGTAGGGAACCAGAACTGGTGGGGTGGGGCTGCGGTCTTCTGAAAGCCTGTAGTTTTACATGTTTCATGGGACATTCTTCTCTGAAATGAAGTTCGAGAACCACTATCCTTGGTCATTGGAGGTGACGTTTTCTTGGGTAGAAGATTTCTCCCCCACCTGAATTTTAGAATAACTTTCCCTTATTTGTAAATAGTCTTATTTCAGGGGTCTAGTCTTTACCACACTGGGGAACTTCTTTCTTTCTGTGCCATTTGTCCGCACATAACTTTAACACTTGTTTCTCTGTTGTTCATGTCTCCAGGCCTCACTGATCCCCTGCACCTTTCAGTCTCTTGTTAATCTTCTCTCTTGACTTTATCCCTTTGGTAATCATTATAGACTTGCCCACTGTTTACCACTTTTCTAATTGCTGCTGCTCACCGTCTAGTAAGTGCTCTTCAAGGCTTGAAGTTTCAGGAAAGTCTTAGTGAGACTTGTTCATACTGCTTCCTGCAGGTGGGTAATGGTACCTCATGTTGGTAATTAATTCAGGCTTTTGTTTCACTGGACTCATTTAACTGAGCCTTAGAAATAATAACTCCTCTAAGTAACATGGCAAATACCTAGTAGTGCAACCTTCATATACAGGAAAACTTTTCATTTACCAAGAGCCTATTGAATATATGTGTCATGTCCTAAGTTAACAGAGAATATCCCCAGTTTATCTTCAGTTTCTTTTTTTTTTTTTTTTTAAAGATTTTATTTATTTATTTGACAGACACAGCGAGAGAAGGGACAGAAGCAGGGAGAATGGGGGAGGGAGAAGCAGACTTCCTGCTGAGCAGGGAGCCCGATGCGGGGCTCGATCCCAGGACCCTGGGACCATGACCTGAGCTGAAGGCAGATGCTTAACGACTGAGCCACCCAGGCGCCCCTATCTTCAGTTTCTTTCTTTCTTTTTTTTTTTTTAAAGATTTTATTTTGTTGTCAGAGAGCACAAGCAGGGGGACTGGCAGGCAGAGCAGGTAGAGGAGAAGCAGGCTCCCCACAGAGTAAGGAGCCCGATGTGGGACTCGATCCCAGGACCCTGGGATCATGACCTGAGCCGAAGGCAGGCGCTTAACCGACTGAGCGACCCAGATGTCTCTCTTCAGTTTCTTATTAGGACATCTTCCAGGTTCTGCTTTTAATGTAGTGTTGGCCGTGATCTGCCTGCTCTTGCTCATTTCAGAAATAGTGATTTTTCTGACAGATTGCTTGTTATTTACACCATTATATTTTGATGTGATTTCTTTCTTTCTCAGAGCAAAAGAATATTATAAGGATTTCCTAATGGCCACTTTTATGTTTCTTAAGAAGTTTCAGCCAGACCTAGCTTGCATCACTTTGTCTAACAGTCTTAGACTCTGCCATCATTCTGCCCTTTGTTTTCTGACTAGTCTTGTATAGTCCACTTGCTTATGTTATCACTTTTATTCAGATATAACCTTTTAATTCCTCATTATGTTAGCATGCCATTACCTCCCTTAGCCTCATAATCATTCATTTCAGTTTTTTCTTTTTTGGAGTAGGCAACCTTAACATTGTTTTTCAGAGTGCTGTTTGTACACGTACGCAAGCTATTTACTTTTAGTTCACTTTTACTAAATTTTTCTTCAGGTCTCTTTCCTTCCAGAATAGGAAACAAGTGATATTTACATTTTTTCTTTATTTCAGACGATGATGGTAGGACTGAAAACGGAGCACTAGCTCCAAAGCAGGAGATTCCTTCAGCAGTAGAATCTCATGAAGTTCCTGGCACTCTCAATATAGGTGTTCCTCAAATTTTTAAGTATGGAGAAGCCTGTTTCCCCAAGGGCAGATTTGAAAGAAAGAGAAATCCCTCTCGAAAGAAACAACATATATGTGATGAATGTGGAAAACACTTCAGTCAGGGCTCAGCCCTCATTCTTCATCAAAGAATCCACAGTGGGGAGAAACCCTATGGATGTGTTGAATGTGGGAAAGCATTCAGCAGAAGTTCTATCCTTGTGCAACATCAGAGAGTCCATACTGGAGAAAAACCTTACAAATGTCTTGAATGTGGAAAAGCCTTTAGCCAGAATTCTGGGCTCATTAATCATCAGAGAATCCATACTGGGGAGAAACCTTATGAATGCGTTCAGTGTGGGAAATCTTATAGTCAAAGCTCAAATCTTTTTAGACATCAGCGAAGACACAATGCAGAGAAACTTCTGAATGTTGTGAAAGTTTAAGAAATTACAAAAAAAAATCAGCACTCAGGTCTTTTTCTTCAGAAATGAAGACAAAATTAAAAACATGAAATGATACATAATAGTTTTATTTCCCTATATAGACTGTTAGAAAATCCACTGGGAAATGTAGAAAATTTTCACCCACTATTATTTTATCTTGAAAGAAACAATGTCATACCTGCCTAGAAACTGAAATTTTAAACTTAATTCAGGTGTTAATTCCTAAATCTTCCATGTGATGTTTATATTCTTATTATTTTTCCAAATAATGAACTCTACCTGATTCTTTGTCCCTTAAAAGTTTCCTTTTTAGACAGACATTATTTCTGTGTTGATCATTAAAATGTTCTTTGCAAGAATACATTCCCTTCTACATTAAAAGGCTACATAGGAATTATAAAATCTGAAAACTGAAACCATTTTTTAAAAAATTTACCCTTCTGCTTCCTTTTACCTAATTTGAATATGCATTTCAGAAAATAGAAGATAAAGGATGACCAAAAGCCTCAAAGTAAAATGAGCCTTAAAATAAATCAGATAAGTGATGGTGACAAAACATCAAAAAGTGAATGGGACACCTAGATTGGGCAAGATAAATACTTTGATCCAAGAATTGAAATATATCAAGAATTTATCTCAGTGTAATTATCTGCCTGCAGGGAAACTCAAACACCGCATAACCTGTCTAATTTGAAGGCATCCCGCTAATGAAAATGTTCTCCTGTGTTACCAGTAGAAAATGGGACAGTGTGAACAATAAACACTTCTAAAACTGTAAGAGTAGACATTCTAACGCTAGGGAAGAATTTGTAGTGAATGGCAGTGTTGAAGGGCAAATGTTAACATGAGGGTAATGGTCTGTCTTGGGGCTTTTAGAAAACAAAAAGAGACTCGAAGATCTAATTTATTATTTTGCCTTTCTTTTTGTTAAGGACATAAAAATCCATGACAGGTGGGCAACAAGTATCAGGTTTGCTGTTTTATTCTTTTGGTACAAAAGGGTTGCACACCAGGCTAACAAAACAGCCATGCATTTATTATTAAACATTTTCTACCGACAAGGCACTGTGCTAGGTACTGTAACCCTACCATAGGTAGGTAGCTATTTCTTCCACTGTAAATCATTGGGGGTTTGGTCTAAAGCTGTTTCATGTGAGTTAGCTTCTTCCCTCTGTTTGAGCAGTCCTGGGGGAGGTCACCTCTGAGATTCCCAGAGCCATAGTTCTCTTACCAGGGTGTTGTGTTCGGGGGAAAGGAAGACTCAGCTCAAAGAGCTAGCCAGCTCTCCAGCAATCTTCAGAGGTGAGTCCAAGATACTCTCATCACAGTTTGGAGGTTTGTGGGTCTTTTAAAAAAACTAATCAATCTCTAGTAGCATCGAGGTTGTACTTACATGTTAAGTTGAATGGATTGTTCTATTTAAAAATAAACAATAGGCTATTAACAACTAGTTTATTAACTATCAGAATTGATTGAACTATTCTTTTTTTAAATTTTAAGTCTTAACACATTTTTAAAAATGTATAAAAGTAATACATTGTAGTAGTAGGATTATATACTCCTTGGCTGAGAATCCCAAGTACTGTGGTTTTACTGTTTAGTGGAAAACTCTGGAAGTTTAAAATAGAGAATACGAGAAAAGGCTTTTTTATAGTGGGCATTAATTGTGTGGAAAATGACCCATGTGAATAAAAAGATTTCATAGTTCCAGAGATTTTGGTTACATCTGGTGCTTGGATCAAATTTAAAATGGAAGGTGAGATTTGCATGAGCCTGTTAAAAAGCATAGTAATAAATGCAAGGCCAGCTGGTGGAAAAGTGAGGCAGAATGGAGCTTGTTTATAGATTTTTCTGATAACAATTAATTATAAGAAATGTGCTTTATAGATTAAGATTTATTGAAGTATAAATATGTAGTAATGATATAATGTATTTTAAGTTATACAAGAAAATGTAGGGACTTTTGTTTGGGTCTTTTTCTCTTTGTGGCTGAGAGGAAACAAGTCAGTGTCCAATAAAGCTATAAACTCCTCCGCTCTAAGATAAAACGATCTTGAGTTGATTTATTTATTTATAACTGGCTTCTTTCCAAGTAGGTTTTGAGGTGGCATATTTTTAATTCTTCTGCTGAGATGACAGAATTCCTGTATCAGAGTAGGTAAGAAGGGAGGCACCTCTCAGTTGCTAGAATTTCACCTTTTGTTTTTTAGATCTTACATCTTTCCTGTATACAAAGAAGCTTCCCTGTGGTACAATTGTCACAAATGCCAAAGATGTTTGGTATAATGTCAGAGCTTAGAGAAAGTGATGGTAGACTTGGCAAATATGAGTTTGTCTTGTCAGCTCTGATACCTGTGCGTGGTTTAGAAAGGATTCTAAGGCCAAGGCAAGGCTCTTTGGGGAAAATGGGCTGGACCCAAAAAGACTGGATTAGGGTATATGGGAAAAGAAATGGCAGTCTGTGTACTTACCATCTCCGGGTAGGCTAAGTCCCCATTAGACAAGTTGATTTAAAATAACTTCAGTATTTATTATTTCATCCAGATGTTCATTGACACCCACACAGATAATCATAGTTAGCAATTCTGGGGGCTGCCCGGCCTCTGATGAAGTGCTGATCTGTTAGTTGCCAAGCAGTGCCATCTCTTTGGTTAGTAAAAGAGCAGTCATTGTTAATGGCATTGCAGACTGCTGATAACTGCCCAATAGCTACTGAGCATTTGCTCATTACTGCTGAATTTTCTTCTGGTTTTCTTGGAGGTTAAACTCCCAAAATTTAATTTAGCAATATGTGGATCACATTTATGTAAATTGAAGGGAGGGGTGTATGTATTGAAATAATCTGCACACCAGGGATTGGATTAGTCACCATACCTATCTCAGATTTGTAGACAAGGAAAGAAAGATTCTGAGATTGTGTGACTTGCATGTGGCCAATTAGAGAGGTAAAACTCAAATCTAGTTCTGTGAACTTAACAGGGATATCTATTTTTTCACAGTGCAGTGAGTGATGGCTGTTAAACCTTGATTGATAAATTTTATGCTTACTAACCCGTTCATTTGAATTTTCTACAATACAGAAATGTTAAATGGAAAAAGGACATTCCTTTTCACACTGTTACTTAGAAGTAATAATTACTTGGTTTGCTATTCTTCCAGACTTAGGCATATACATATTTAAGCAAAATGTGTTAATAGTTGACACTGTGGTTGTTGCACACGGGCAGTGTTGGAAGTGCTTTACCATGGATTAACTCTCAATCCTCACAGCAACCATATGAGGTAGGTACATATCCCCATTTCCCGTGTACTGCGCTGAAGCTTGCCTCCTCTCCCCCTGCCTTGAGGAAGACACTGTTTTTTATAGCTGCACACTACTCCATTGCATGAATATACTGTAATTTATTTAACCCCTTATTGATGGAAAAGTTCTTTCCACTTTTTTATTATAGATAAAGGTATTGTTACCATTCTTACCCATCTATTTTGCTGCCTGTGTGGATATTTCTGTAGGATAAATAGCAAGAAATAGATTTATTGGGTCAGAGAATGTGCACATTTAACATTTTGAGAACTATCACCAAAAAGATGGTACCGATTTACAACTCCATCAATAGAGTGCCTATTTGCCTCCACCCCCACCAACCCTGAATCCTGAAATATTTTTACCAGTATGGTAGGCAAAATGTGTCTTTCTTTTTATTAATAAGGAGCACCTTTTTTATGTTTATTGGCCATTTGCATTTAATTATGAAAGTATAAATGACTACCATCTCGTTATACAAAACTTAAATGATACACAAGTATAAGAGCAAAGAGACCCTTTTCTCCAGCACTTGTCACATTCCACTTTCCACAGTTTGACAACCATCCATCAAGTTGCCTTTCCATACATTTCCATATGAATATACATACACTTAATAAATGCTATTTTTACATAAATAAGATCATAGATCTGTATTCAGCTTTTTTTTTCCTTTAGTCTCAAAAATCCTGAGGTCTTTAAATTTCTTTAATGGTTGATTAGGATGCACTACTATGAAAATCCCATTATTTAACTTTTCCTTTATTTTTTCTCTTGCTATTACACTGCCAAAGTAAACATCTTTTTCATGTATTTCTGTAAATGTGTGAATTTCTTTAAGATGGAGTTGTATGAGGTGGATGGTTGGGTCCAAGGATGTGCTTTCTGATAGACCCATCTTAGCCTTCCCAAAGGTCTTCATAACTCCGTTTTTACCCTATGTATGGAAAGTGCTCATTTCCCCACATAGCCTTACCTAGGCTTGTTAGTTTTTATCTGATGGGCAATAAGGAAAAAAAAATCATCTTGTATTTCCCTGATTGATGGTGAGGTTGAGGTTATTTTCATATGTTTATTGGCCACTTTTATCATGGATTATTTGTTCATGTCCTTTACCTATAATAGCTTTCTGTTGGGTTATGTGTGGATCTATGTTGTTGGGTGTTTTTTTGTCGTTGTTCAGCATCTCTTTCCCCATCCTCTGGTAACAGAATCCTTATTTATTGTGGGGAACCCATTCCCTGTGGCTTAAATGAGTAGGTGACCAGGTCTGGCCTTCCTGAGTCCTGCAGCTTCTTAGCCACAGTGATCAAAGAATGGGCATGTGACTCGAGCCAGGCTAAAGAGAGCTCTCGACAGAACTTCTGCTGGAACTATTGGAAAGAAGGCTGTACAGAGATCCCACAAACTAAGGACTGTGTAAGCCTGAATTTACATCATGTGGAGAGAGTCTGAGGAGAAACTCAGAGGCTAGCAGAAAGGAATGAGAACTCAGTTCTGATGTCATTTTTCTGGAGGCCCTAGATCCAGCTGTGCCTAAAGCCTGCCCTACCTCCGAACTTTAAAGTTTTGTGAGCCAATAAAGTCCCTTTCTTGTTAAAATAACTGAATTGGGTTTCTGTCCTGATTAATATAGGTTCTTTGTATTTTCTTATTGATTTGTAGAAAAGCTTTGTAATTCTAAACTCTAGAATTAACACTTTATGCACTATAGGTTAATAAAATTAGCACGGCCTTCCATAACTTGGCCTCCGTCAACTTCTGCCATTTGTTACTCTACTCTGTCTGCACCACACACATAACATTTTGCATTCCGACAATAACTAAACATTGGTGTTGGGAACATCTGTGGATGAAAAGCTTTTTGCACAATTGTGCCTGGCATTTCTCTTCCATCCTTCGTACAGATTCATTAATCTAGCACTCAAGACTGGGGATTACGCTGCCAAGTCTATGCTGTACCCACCTCCAAACATTGCTCTTGGAGCATTCCCCTCATGCACCCCCTGTATGTGACCCTTGAAGCCCCTCCCCAAACATGGTTCTCTGGGGCCCTAATTTTATTATCAGACCCATGGGTTTGAAGTTGCTAACATCCAAAACTTTATT